TATCTAGGTAATAGAATAGAGTCGTCATCCAACCTCTTACTTTCCTCACTAGAGAGCCGTTGTGACAAGGCTTTGCTCAATGTTATGCTAGCCATCACGTGAAAGCACTTGCTCTCTCCATGCTCGACAAGCATGGAATCCGTTACCTCAGCTCAGCAACTCAAATGAAGTTGAAACTGATTCCATTGGGAGCTGTCCATTGGCCCGGTACCTAGGAATGACAGAATGACACCTCTTAGCCTAAGGTAGTGCAGCCAAGTATCGACGGGCTAGATCGACTGGCTGCCCCGGAAATTCCAGCTGCGCCGCATTCTATTACGCAGATTCAGCTGTCAGCTGGATGAATTCTCACAACATGGATGGATGTCGTGATGCTCCGATCAGCAGCTAGAGGTAGTAACAGTACCTACCAAATATAGTAACAAGCAACAGTCTTCATCGCTAAGGATGCTTCATTCTTACAATGAGCTCCAGACTCTCCTCGGATGACCAGGGCCAAGACGGAGCTTACGGAATACGTTGACGCTGCGCCAAGCATCTATAGTACTTGGACCCTTGCTCGATCATTGGTGGATGCCTCACATCGACGTTAGGCGGTTGTACCACCCAAGTTCAAGGGTCGTCAAATGGCTCTGGTACCCCGATTTTTTCTCTAGGAAACGGCCGGAAACGACGTCAAGCCGCATCTCCAGTCATCGTAGGGTTTGTTGGAGAAAAGAGGACCTCCTCCACTCCCCTCTGAGACAAGACCAGGCAGCTACAAGGGAGAGAGGAAGAGTAGCAGGCAGCCTGAAGGATCCGAGACGGGACAGGTTGAAACCACGTCTTCTGCGGGAAAAATTGGTAGCAAATAGTGATGCCAAAATCAAACAGAGGAGAGACGGACGCTTCCACGGCCTAACAAATAAGGACCCTGGTCCCCGTCTCCGCGTGATTGCATGACATCTCCGAAGGCTCTGGCCTCGGAATCTACAGGCATTCAAGCCACTTCTTCCCCAATAGGCAGTCTTGATAGCGCGAGCTGGAGACATAGCTGTTACAGCACAGGCTGCAGCCTACAGCGAACCAGGTTACAGCCTACCGATTTGCAACCCCCCAAAGCCTAAAAAAGCTCGAGACTGCAACCACCGAGGAACCTCGCCTCAAACCCCCCAGAAATCGCCAGACTCCTCCAATCTCCCGCTCCGTCTGCATGTTTCTGTTCTCCTCGACAACTTACTTACACGTATTAGAACTCTCTGCTAGCAGCTTCTTCACGTCTTACATCGAATGACGCCGGCAATAGCCCTCCGCCTGTGATATCCGCTCCCTCGTCCTCCGCCTCTGCGTCGACCTTCTTCCTCTTGGTGCCCCGCAACAGGCGCCCAACGCGCTTCCTCGACCTCGGCCTGTCGTCCGAGCTCCGCGACTTCGACCAACGGCGCCCAAATAGGAATCAGACGTCTCAAGATGAAGTCGATGAAGGGCCTCTCCGTGAACAAGATGCTGGGGAGCATCAGGAAACGGACAAGTAGGTGCTCTCTGTTTGATGTCCCCCGGTCCGAGCTAGCATAACACTCGATGGGCGCCAAGGCAGCGATGCGCTGCCCTCTGCCTTGTTCCCTCGACCCCAAGAAACATACGGGAGCTTCCAGAGGCTAACAATATTCTTCCTTACTTCTTCAGCGATAGGCAGCCCTGATCGTTCGGCAGCGACGACACCGGGAGAGACACCCGAAGTGACAGCCCATAACAGCGTGGTATGTGTCCGTCCCTGGCGCTGTCAACGGCGCAACGGCCTCGTCGGAAGGTCGCGCGCGCTTTTGGACTAACTGAGCCTCACTAGAAAGCATTTTGCGAATCTGGCGGAAACGCAAAGGTACGTGCTCCCCTACAAACAGCAAGAGTCTTGCTCGCTGCGCCCTGCATGCCGCCGAGGGACATATCGCTAACATAAGCCTTGTGCCTCTCCCGCGCAGAGCGAGGAAGTGCTCTTCCTCCCGCCGATTGTCGATGCAGCCGAGTCTTCGCCCACCGCCGCTGCCGAATGCGCGCGCATCATCCGGAAATACCTGGCCAAAGAGTACTCCTCGCGGCCGTCATGGCAGTACAACGCCATCATGCTGATGCGGATACTGGCCGACAACCCGGGCGAGACCTTTACCAGAAACTTCGAGACCAAGTTTGTGGACACGGCCCGGGCCTTGCTCAAGAGCACAAAAGACAACAGTGTGCGCCAGATTCTCATGGACACGCTCGACGACTTTGAGCGCTCCAAGTTCTACGACACGAACCTGACGCTCATCATCACCATGTGGCAAGAGGAGAAGGAGAAGGCGATCAAGCAGCATGGGGTATGCTCCTCCACAGTGATGGCAATTCGAGCTGAAAGAAATTACGGCCAGCTAACACGGAAGCGATAGGGTCGAGCACCTACACTGCCCCAGCGCCCTGCAGCCTCCTCGGCGCCCGGGTCCTTCAATGGACACTCACAAAACTACTTCTCTAGGCACCATAGCAATCACCGACTGCCCGAGCCCGTCGAGTTGACCAGCAGGCTGGAAGAAGCGCGGTCGTCGGCTAAGCTGCTAGAACAGCTTGTCATGAACTCGCCGCCCGTAGAGCTGCTCGAGAACGATCTGGTCAAGGAGTTTGCGAACCGCTGTCTGAGTGCCTCCAGGAGCATCCAGGGCTACATGTCGTCCACAGATCCCGCGCCGGACAACGATACCATGGAGAGCCTCATCGACACCAACGAGCAGCTGCAGACTGCGCTCAGCCAACACCAGCGCGCCGTGCTCAGCGCCCGCAAACAGCTGGGCCTCAACGAGCGGTCTGAGAACCCGTCGCCTGCCCCTGAACAGCAGTCGCTCCACGGCTCCGGCGGCTCCCGTGGAGCTCAGGGCTGGCAGGTCCCCGCTGCCGGGGCATCATCGTCCAACTCCAGCCCCGCGCCCTTCTCCAACGTCTCAAGTGGTAACGGAAAGGGCAAAGACACGGACTTGTACAGCTCTCCTTTCCAGCCTCCACCAATCGCCGGCCAGCCGTCAGACCCAGGCCGGGGCAGAGCGCCACCCCCTGAGCCGGAATCGCTGCCGGAGGACCCATTCCGTGACCCGCAGCCCGCTGGCTCGAGCCCCAACGGCCAGCTCACAGTCCCCGGGGACGAGCCCTTCCACCCGGGCTTTGGACTGAACAGCCATCGAGATGGTTCGTCCACACACGGTACTGCTGGATCGGGCGTCGCTTCTGAGGATCACTCGACACACAATGTGCAACCCGATTACCAAGTTTCAGACGACGAGGACCTCTATTCTTCTCCTCCAAAGAATAGCAAGGAACCCATGTATCGGTATTGATGCGGTTCATTGACGGCTTAGGAGGACAAACACTATAACTGAGGGACAGGTCATAGGATCCATGCTGTCGAATGGTGAATCGGGACAAGGAGGGATGCTCGGAACGGTAAATGGCTTTCAATGTTGTTTTCTGTTTCTTTCCATTTTGAGATCTCAACAGTGTCTCTTACCACTGGACATTGTTCGCCAACAGTATTTACGTTTGCCTTGTTTCAGACTACCCATTGCGTTTGTCATGTCCTTTTCATTTGACGGAATACCCATTTCGACCGTTGAGCGAAGATGCGAGCGATTCATGGCTCAGACAGAAATACACAACGTCTATTTTTATCTATGCAGATCAGAACGGCAACTCGCCGCCGAATCAACGCAGCGAGGAGCTGGCATGTCTGTATGTCCAGACCGTGATTACGAATGAGTACTTGGGGTTGTGGGAGATATCGCATGTGATAGGGTTCGATAAAGTATCCTTGAACTGACGCCACAAACGAAGGGCTATACACTCTCGGCTGCCCCAACAACTGTGATCGTATGAATACGCACCCATCCGGATAGGATCGAAGGGGTTTTGAAATGAGGGATGCAGTTCGGCAAGTTGGCTGTCTACGTATTCGGCTGTAGAGGCAAAGACAGAGAGCAGCAGGCCTGCTGATGATCGGGGTATGGCGTGGGATGGGAGGCGGCTGGCTCAGTGTTGAAAGACGGGTTTCAGAGATGAGGAACGATGAGAATATCCGCATGCTATCAGATGATTGAGACATATTTTGTTGAGTTCAATCATTTTTTGGAGCGCCTAGAGCGGGTGGATATTGAATGATGAAGAGCCTTGTAAGCCGCTCAGTTGCCACAGTACCCATGAAAGCCATCAGCAGACGTTAATAGCTATTTCGATTCTGTTGAGATATCCATCTTGAGACCCCTTGTTGGATGCTTTGGAAGAGACAAAACATGAAGAGAGGTCAAGCACACCTGAGGAAGCTAGTATCTAGATATGATTATTTCTTGGAGAACGGTGAGCCGAGCAAGATAATCGTGCATCGTCCCAATTTCGACCTCTCTATTCTCCCAGCGTTGTGGTTACAGGCAAACATTGCCGCAGCCTCAAATGGCATTCCCGGGAGGTTTCGACACGGAGAAGTCTGTAGCCGCCATTCACGTAATGGGCTCAGCTAAATGCCACGTTTCCTTGCTTCGAACTCCTTTTCTGAGGCTTCCCAAAGCCCAAGAGTAGACCTTGAGGCAGATACTCACTGATCAAGGGAAATGCTTCCGAGTCCGTAGCTCCATCAAATCAGGTAAAGTCAGGCATAGAGCCCAGAACTCAATTTCGAACTTGGAGGCTTTGAGGTTATACTTTGTGCTAGCGAAGGGGCACCAGCTACAATGCCTACTGACCGAGTCTTCCCTCTGTTTTTCTTACCTTCTTCATTCCCTTTCTTTTCTCTTTCCCTTTTGTGCGTCTGTTCATTTGTTTTTTTGCCAACTTTGCCTTTCCCTCCTATATAACTGGGTGTGGCCCTGGGCATAGCCGAGCGTGATCCCTTTCACTTCTCCAGCCTCATCCACCTGCCAACTTTTCCATGGGAGTTTCAAGCCAGTTGTGCGTATTATACTGTTCTTATCATGTTTGTCCGGTACCTCTTTGCCGCGGCCGCCATGGCGATGCCGACTTTTGCCTTGGCAATCACACGAGACGCAGCGAATTCCAGCGACCTCAGATGCGGCGCTGCAGTCAGTCCCGACTTCATGGCGCTGTCCAAACGACTTGCACAGGAAGAGGCCGGTGAATCGATGCTAGGCCTGAGATCTGTCGAAAAGATCAAGGTTGATGTGTATATACACATCGTCGCAGGATCGCAGGATGACACAGCAGGGAATTTCAGCGTACGTCGCAGTCTCCTCCGTCCCTCAGACTCCTGGTTCTAAGCTCGATCCCGTCTCTCTTCGCGTGTTTGACCTAACAAAGAGACATCGAGTAGGACGACGTCGTTCAAAAGCAGGTTGCAGTCCTCAGTGCCGACTATGCACCGGCCGGCATATTCTTCAGCTTAAAGAACGTCGATCGAACCAGCAACGCCGAATGGGCGAACGGTACTGATCTTCACGGCATGTGGAATCAGCTTCGCAAAGGCAACTATGGAGACCTAAACCTCTACTTTATTCCCACACTCCCATATTATGGCTTCTGCTCGATGCCAGCAGCGGGCGACGACCTCGTGGACGGCATCTGGGAAGATGGCTGTACGATCCGCTCGGATACTGTCCCTGGCGGCAGTGCAGTCAACTATAACCTGGGCAGGACAGTGACGCATGAGGTCGGGCACTGGTTCGGGCTATGGCACACTTTCCAAGGGGGTTGCGATGGCGACGGCGACTTTGTTGGCGATACGCCTGCGCAAGCGGTTGCGTCAACAGGATGCCCCCCGGACGGGCAAGATTCCTGTCCTAACCAACCAGGCTCGGATGCCATTCACAACTTTATGGATTATTCATGGGAGTAAGTTGGGAGCAAGGCGTTTTCTGCTCAAGTATTCGGGATGTTATGTCTGGTTTTCTGCCCATATACTAATGGTGCCCGGCAGTGCCTGCTATAGAGAGTTCACACCCGGCCAGATCAATCGGATGAGGAAAGTCTGGTACGCATATCGAGCATGAGGGGCGCGGTGAGACGAGAGAAGGAGAGCCTTGGGAACAGGCTTGTGTTATTTTGGCAGAAGAGCATATCTGATGCTCGAGAAACGGGTCTGATATTGCCACGAATGGATGTTGAATCTGCGAAGAGACGGTTCCAGGATATTGATGCGACGGTAATTTGGAAAAGGATAAGCAAGAGTGTTTTTAGCTTCAAGGAGAGGAGTCTAATGGAAAGGAGTTCGATGCAAAGAAGACAGTACCAGTTCGTTCACGAAAGAAAACATCAAAGCAACGAACCCGACCGCTCTCGTCTGGGAGTCCCCATTCGCTGTCCATTTTCTTTGTGCTGCCCACCGGCAATCCATGAGCCTCATCAACGGGGTTCCTGGAGGCTTGAGCCATAATCACCGAACACTAAGAGCGAACAAACAAAAATTCTTATCCTTCTCTCATGTTACCGTCCAAAATAACAAGGAGAGTGTCAGTAATGTTCGTTCATGTCCATGTTCAGGAGGTTCGCTGCGTTGTCTTTCAAACTGCCAGGCGGTGACACGCACCTGGAGTTTCCGGGGAGCATGCCCTAAAACACCATACCAAGGCCAAGTCCTTTACTGATTCCTTTGTCTTGCAAACATTACTTCAGTCTTTTATCAGATTTGTTTGCCAGCTGAGTTATATTTTTTTTCTCTTCCTCGGTTGTTATAATACGGTAAGTTCATTCACATAGCCTCTCCTATTGACCGACTTTGAATGTTGATGCTAGATAGGTCGACCTCGCATACGAAGAGCACAATTTCCCTTACCATCTCCTTCATCCATACGATATCCTTCGATTTCCGAGAATAAATCTTACAATATGCGAAAACAATCAGACGAACAGCTCGGTATCCTAGAAGAGTTGGAACTTGTGCATGGGATGCATCAGATGATCCTGCAGCTACTGCAAGACTTGGGCTTCTCGCCGCCAGATGAAGGCCATCAAATTCCAGAGACGGATGCCTCGGGAGCAGACGCTCTCTATGATGAGAGAAGAGCCGACATCTACAAGGGCTTCCAGGACGTCGTTGCAGAAAAGGAGAAGCTGGAGGTGCGGATCGCCTCTCTGAAGAAGGAGGACGTCCAACGGCGGGGACAACAGTCGGGTGTGCAAAAGAAGACGATTCAGGCTCGCAAGGCTCGCAGAAAGGGTAATAAATGGACCAAGGCAAAGAGATCTTGATATTTCTCTTCTACTCTTGCTCCCTGATGAAGTTTCCACAGTGGTTTTGGCAGGCGTTATGGATCGGGTTCGACGAGACTGGAGAACTACCCCTTTGTGCCTGGGATTTGTTATCATAGTGGGTGGTCTTTGGGGCCATGGCTTGCTGGGAACACGGAACGCATGTTGTCCTGGCATTGAGAGAAGCTTCTACAGCTCTGTAATGTAGGGCTACCTACCAAATGGGAGAAAAGGTGCAATCCGAAAACCGCACATAGAGCAATTCTCCAAGAACAGAGGCATAATGGCGATACAGGCGCTGGGCCATAATGGCAGTATCTACTCTATATCTCTCAAAAAGATACTAATTGAAAAATAATTCTTGTCGTATCAGAAGTGCCATCCTTTGACAATAGATGCAGCTGTTCGAAGCCCCTGGGGCCGGCCCCCACGTGATGCCATATGATTATTGCCATTCGACAGCTGCCTGCTGCTCCCTCTACTCTCTCTACTCCCTTCAATCTTTCAATCATCTACAGTGCCATCAACCGGAGTTTTGTGTCTTGCATCGTCATCTACGGAAAAGCACCGATCGTCCACTACCACTCTCGACCCAACTTTGTTCCTTCTCGCACCTTTGTACAACTTCGTCTCCGGGAGTCAGGATGCCTCACGTGTTGGTCGAGTTTGTGAACGAGTTTCTTGTTCAACTTCCGCGTGCTTGGCGTGAAGTAAGTCGGCTGACACTTTGAAAATCAAACCAACGCATGGCTGACATGAAACAAGAATGCTAACTGGGGCTTGTTCAAGCTCCAGTTTCTGGCCGTCTACGTCCTTGTCGTAGGCCTTCACGAGGCCACTTGCCTTTTTGTAAGGTCTCCCCAGGTTTTGGCTGCAGCAAGCTCTGCCTCTCCATCTTTTTCTTTTTCTATCTACTTCTTCAAGATAAGCATAAACTGCCGACTGACGCTTCATGGCTACAGGGCTGTATAGTCCCTTCGACCACCGCTGATGTCGCCTGCTTGATTGCCAAGGTGGCATTCGAGGAACTGCTCCTGGTCCTTTTTTCCTTTCCTTTCATCTAAGCTCTCGACTTTCCGAGGCGGATATTAACGTCGATGCTGAACGCCCCGAAAATGCGGGTAGCTTACCACGACGGTTATGATCAATGACGATGGTCAATACTTTTGGTTCCGCGTGCGCAATGCGCCTGGTTTACAGGCTGCCAAGGGCACACTGAAAGAATACTTGTTCACTGCCAGCAAAGCAGCTGGGAGGAGGTCACAATTTCCGACAAGGAAACGGATTCTGTTATATCGAGGGCACCTTGATGGATTTCAGAAGATGACAGAGGTTGCCACCTACTGCCAGGATATCTCGGTCATGTTGATTAAGATACCTATTTCCTCCCAGAGTTTCTGACCTCTTTCCAAAGAAGCATATCTCGACAGCTCTACTGCATCAGAATTATCTCCTGGCGTCCTCGCACCTGTTGATCGTAGTATCCTCCTTGCCTGCTACTAAGTCGACGGCCCAACTTCTTACAGTTAGCCCGTCATCACTAAGAAGCCCAGCCTGTGGCCCATTGGTTCGAATGCCGCCAGATTCCCCCCTTTCGAGCGTTAACCAAAGGGACGAGCCGTCATTAGCGGGACATTAAACACATCAACATGGTTCCAGACACAATTCGACATCATTTGCCTTGACAGCATCGTAGACGACGATGTAGAGATCAGGCATATTCGCACGAAAAAGGGGCCCAACTCTGTTACATACGTCCACTGCTGGGGGGAATTCCACAGATAGATGAAGCAGGTTTCCCTGCTTATTGTATTTTGGCCATTTTCGTCACAGTTGCGGTGAATGTGATGGCAGCCGCGCCCCGTTCCTTTGGCAACTGCTTCCAGCTGTCTCCTGCCTTGCCTGCTGGCTTCGTAGCGAAAACACACGCAAAAAAGAAGCGAGAAAATCGAGGTCAAGCAAAAAATCATCCATCCGTCTTTGAAATTTCACTCCCAGCACCAACTTTTTTCTCTTCAAGCATCGTTACCCCTGCACGCTCAACAACTCAACCAGCATCCTGTTGCTCGTCCCTATGCAGATTTCCGGTATCCCTAGAAGAGCGTCACAGCAGAACAAGGCTTGATTTTTTCCCTTGGCTGATTCTCAGGTAACGCATTACCACAAGAGTCTCTCCTTTCCTGTGATGACTTCTTCCTGACCTTTGGCCAATGCCCGTTCTGTAGTGATTCCTGTGGCAGACCCTCTCGATGGATGAGCCAGACCTTGACCTCCGCGAATTTCTCCTGGAGCTCCAAGGATTCCCTGACGATCTTCAGAGACTGGTCATTCTCATGATAGAAGATGTCGAGGACTGGATCCTTATAGCCTTAGCTCCTCCGCCTATTGAACAAATAGACTTGGAAATAGATGAAGACGAGGCAACCTCCCACCATCTGAGCAACGGTACAGATCCATGGGGCTATCCGCAAGACCACAAAGCCCGCGCCAGAGGTCGATGTCGATATCAATACCTCCAACAGCCGCCACCTCGACGAAGAAACCTATAAACAAGAGAGACTGATGTCACTTTCGTGCGTTGTAGCCAAGCAAATGGTACAGACACTCTGCGGCTGAGGCCGCCACTTGCGTTGCCGAATGTCCTGAGGCTTTCCCCTGAAGTCAGAAGTCACTCTACCTTGCGTAGGGAAAACTTTGTACAGAGTGCTTCCTAGAGAGAGAGCACCGGGTTCTAACTTGATCGAGATGTACAACTCGCCCCCTTTGGAGAGGCGTGCGTTACAATGGATGGGTGGATATGGCGATGTGTGGGCGGATGGATGGACTGGGGTGTCTCGATGAATGGATGGATGGGTGAAAACTCTTTTCCAGCTGCCTAGAAGTCAGAGAATGTATCTAAGACTGGTGATACAACTGCCTAGTACGTTGACTGGTCCAACACTACCTCTCCGTGATATGATGGATGAAGCATCCCGTGCTCACCTCACCTCAGCCCGTTGGCACCTCATCTGACCCTTTCCACGAGACTCGAGGAGGAGTGTTCTCTCCTTTCGTTTGACGCCAGGCGGCAGACAATGCTCCCAACCACAGCAGAGTCTTCTCTTCGAGAAGGAGGAGACAGAGTCATCCCCACGCTCGGGCACGCCGGCGTGAAACCTCCTTAGGTAGGTAAGGTAGTTTCACTTCTCTGCCTCCTCTTCCCCCTCCCCATCCCCATCCTCCTTACTCTTTCTTGTCCAAGTTCCCCCCTAGTTCATCATCGGTCGAAGGAGGCGCCCACGGGTCCCTTTGACCTCCTTACTCTCGGGTCTCGGGCCATTTCGGGCGGCGCCGTGGTCGAACAGGCCAAGGCCTCGGGGTGGCAGAGGGATTAGTAGAAGAAAAATGTCGGATAGGGCTCAAGACCTCCGTGTGGCGAAAGTATGAAGACGCCTCCTGAATCGGACTCTACTTCACAGTGCTGTTAGCTTATCATATGCCAGCCACAGTTGCGGATAGAACGCCGGAAGTGGAACACAAGGCAAGTGGAAAGCGAAGACAGAGGGATCCCGAGAGTAAAAACCGGCAACCATTTTAGTTTTCTCCTTCAAAGGTCGTGTTTTCAGGTAGGTAGCCAAAAGCGTCATCTGCATTCCAGCCGTAACCCCTGACAACTTGGCCCATACCAGGCACCGGATCCGGCAGAGTATCAATTATAACTGGCAAATTTGGTGACCAATTCTTTGTTCAGACACTCTTTTTCTTTTAATAAAGCAGTGTATGATTTGAGTAATCCATACCTATGTACTGTTCGTGACATTGATCCGGGAGCGCTGGCAAGTTATAGGAAGGCTTTGCGGCATCTGATGCCAATCACGAGAAGAAAAGCTCAGTAAAAGGGAGGCATAATATGCCAGTCGGCTATTTGTTTGAACTCACTCGCCAACAGTAATTACAGGAATCAAAGAAGCAAAATCCGTTTTGGCAGAAAAATAACAAACAAGATTGTATATTGAATGCCCCTGAAAGCAAAGGAGCACCAGCTTCAGTTGGGCAGACTTCTGATATTGCACTGTTGAGAAGGCAGGTGTCACGCAAACCGTCACTGCCTTGCTTACTGCGACAATGTATACAGCAGGCAACTGCAATCGCATCATATCGCTTTCTCCTGGATCCAGGGGTTTGGGTAGGTGCATTTGATGAGAAGGAGCAACTGCCCAGGATGCCAATCTGTACTTTACAGCCTGCTCCCGCTTCAGTTTCACCTCTCTCCATGATTCTTTCTCTTTTGAGCTTGATACTTTGTGTCTCTTCCCGTCTCTCTCCTTTTTTCTGCTTATTTCCTACAAAGCATTTTCACCTCTTACAGCGCGATGATCGCAGACAATGAGAGACACGACACTGCTTTTTTTTCCTCCATACTACTCCTAGTGTTCAGCACGGTGGCTTGAAGTGCTGCCATTCTGAAACTGTCCTGGTTTGTCTCAGTCACGTCAAGTTCCAGCTAGGTACAGTACCTCTTACCCGACTGCCACCACCACACGCCATCAAGCCACAAGTTCCCCAGAAACAGGTCTCCTCTTGCTGTGTCGCTTCGCCCTCCCTCCGCGTCGCTACCTCATATCACCGAACTTCTGAGCGACTTTGATGATACTTACTATCCTGTAGGCAAATGTTCGCGTATGAAGTTACTGCAAGGTACAAATCGTGCCTCTTCCCTTCGCCTACCTGAGAGCCAAGACGAGGATATTCAGCCTCTCAAGCCGCCACTGGGCTCCCGCCTCGCCCTTTGCCCCCGGGCCGCGTTTCCTCGAGTGTCCGCAAGATAAGACACCAGGCCTGCAGAGCGACTCGTACGGGTACGACCATTGTCATACGGCCATTGTTGCTCAAACATCTTGACTTGTCTGCCGCCTTCTCCCGAGTGTTCGCGATGGAATCTTCCGAGAACGGCGGACAGAAACGTCACCACCCAGTCCACTCAACCCACCCAGTCCGGACGAGAACTTGGTCTAGCCGGTGGGCTAGTGGAACGGGGTAACAAGCAGTACGTGCTTTCTCTCGAGGCCACGAGAAGATGCTGGAGCACTAACTCAAATCAAGGGGATGAGAGAAAATTCACAAACAGACACGCCCGTTCGTCAGCCGCCAGCCACTGCTTCCACTCCCCGAAGATGGCTCTTCTCTTGGTCTCTCTCATAAGCTCCTTGGACGATGCTTCGGCAAATATGGCCAGCAAATCAAAGACGCCAGCATCCGACTGATGGCGCGCTTGAAGCTCGCGGCCACAAGAACCCGTTCCGCTGCCGCCGGCGACGAACTCTATTGCCTCAGCAAGTTCCACCCGTCTCGTGCGCTGCCTGTCAAGCGTCGGTCCGCCTGGGTGAGGCGGCGAGGCCCTAACGTCGTACTGGGACCCTCCTTGCTCTTGACCGAAGACTGGGCCGTCGTTGTGCTGACTCGCCTCGAGAAGAAGGGAGAACTGTGCGCGTCAGTCGTCACCCCCCTATTGTCTCTATTGAAGCCTACTAGATCCAACAAGGACGCCCTCTTCCCGACCTAGGAGACGGAATTCATCCTGGTGACAAGATGAACTGGTGCGGCGTCATCTTTGTCGCTTCTGCTCACCTCACCAGCAGGATGACCCTCATTTCCTCGCACCAGGATGTGCTAAGTCTTGATCTTGCCACAGCCAAGTGAGCATTTCGGAAAGAGCACAATAGGAGCCTGTCGTCGTGCTTGCTTCAAGGGAAGGGGGGGCGGTCAACTCGCGTGAATGAAGCGCAAACCAAGCTGTTCTCCAAGAGAGTTAACTTGCGGTGCTCGGTACTGCTGCTTTTGCTCACCCTCCGGAGGTCCGCATCCGCTCCTAGGCATGCTGTCTGCTTGTGCTCCTTGTCTCGTCGCCGCCACCGGCGCTGTTACTAGTTCGCGAGCGGCTGCTTCGATCCCAGGTTCTCCCTGCTGCCTTCAACTGGTCTCCCACCTCCCACCCTTCGACTCCGTCGTACCATTGCACTGACTGGCTGGGCGACTAACCGAGTACAATTCTCTTTAGCCTTGGCTCCTCGACCTCGTCACAGTACTAAGGACAGCCAACAAGACGTTAGAAAATCAAACTCAAGTCCTTGGCGACACCGTCAGCATCAGGCCTCCTTGTTCTCTTTTCAAATACCTATACTGTGAAGCCGCTAGGGGCAGGCAGTCAGTCTTTGGTCCGTACTGGACTCAGCTCTGCTGCCACGCTCCCACTTGTCCTTCAGCACGTCGTCAGAGGGATGGTCTGAATTTCCTCGGCGGAGATCATTGCCTACAGCTCGTTCAGCCTCCGTAAACTGATGATCGATTTCGACTCCAGGTATCAGGCTCCTCGCCTAGGTACACATCATGTATCCTAGAGCCAGCTACTAGCCTTCTCACATCCATTTTTCACTCATTGGAGCAGAAAACGGCGAGGCGATCCGACCGGTGCCGCGGGATCAAAGTCTCTAGCTCCAGAGCCGTCAAGGCCTGCTGCAATGGGCCGCCCGCTACAGCTTAGCACATCTAGCTAAGACCACTGTCCGTCTTCCTGAGCTCTCTGGTCTCGGATGACATCTTCAGCGGTCATCTTTCAAAGCCGTTGCACGTCGAAAGGCCATGTTTTCCCTTCCGTGCAGTTTGCTGGCGACCAGATTCACAGCTGGGGAGCGTTCGGATGAGGGCAGTGTCCATGCCACCGCTGCCAATCACAGTAGGTCTCTCTGGTGTCAGAGGAGGAGATGGAAAAAATTCTCGACAACCCCTCCCTCCCTGTCTTTGCTAGCAAACGAGACAGGGACCAGCCTTCTTTCTACACGCATTGAGAACACCAAGAACCCCTTTACCTCGTCTGATTCGATCACCAGGTCTGCAGAAGGACGAGGACTAGTCAAGAAAAGCCCCAGGGCCCCCTCATTGTGTCCAGCCGTCTACTACATACTGTCATATCTCCCATTCAATATCTATCAATGGCCCCGTACGTGCGGACGAGGTGTATGCATGCGCACTCAGCCTACTTCTACCTGTATCCATGAAGCAGTGCGGAGCACGTACTTGCAGATGGTTGCAGACCGACATTCTGTGTTTGCCCCAGCCGCTGCGTGCCAATGGGCTATGCCAGAAGATCACCTGCCACCTTGGAGTCAGTCTGGTCCTCTCTCACACTTTGACACACTCACTCACTCTTCTCTCCCTCGCTCTTCTTCTTCCTCCTACTCCCCTACTTCATCAATCTCTACCAAAGAGCAGCAACCATGGTCAAAGCAAGAGACGTGATAACAAAGGGCCTCAACGCTGGCCCATGCTGCCACGTGACGATGATGATGTGACGGGTGACGAGAAGTTGCTGCGGCCTGAGTTTGTGCCTTCTCGCCCATTCCTTGCATTTTCAGGGGGGAAGCCACAGCCAGAGAAGAGCGAGTGGGCGGGAGGGGCCCCTTTCACACAGAGTACTGTACAGTACAAGTACACAAGCTGGAGAGAGAGTGAAGAGAGGGCGGGGCGGTTATCCGTCTAGTCTCCATTTCCTTCCTGTTAGTGCCTCTGACCTTGGCATGGGGGCGTGTAGCAACGAAGCATGTCCGCAGTCGAACGGCGGCGGGCAGGTACAGGTAGTAAGCGGACACACGATTCGTCCCTTACCAAGAGCGGCGAGGCGACGCCGCATCAGGACAAACCTGCTTCCGCTAGGGGCACAAGGCCAACATGGATGGACAGGTCCGGGACAGACAATACGTGTCGACCAGCCTCGCCGCATCCTCCTTGTCCAACCACCCATCCACCATCCAACAGCCACCCAGACACATCGCCATCGCAGGCCACATGTGGCCGATGCTTTGACGAGGCACGGTAGTAGCCTTCACATGGCACTCTGTTCATTGAATTCCAGGTGAAATCAACTGATGTCTTGTTTATCACGCACTACCTTATAGGACAGAAATCAAAACCTCGAAAAGACAAAAGTACCCTCCCTTTTGGCCAGCCCCCTGCCGCCCGAGATAGCTTCATCCAAGCCCGTTCCGAACCGTATAATCCACCAAACCCGTCAGCCAAGTCCGAGGCTCCTTTTTAAACGTTGACCCAACAAAGGAATTTTGCCAACCTCCTTCCCAGTGAGCCACATTTACCATGCTGCCGTCGTCCTCGTGCCCGTCTCGGTCGACTACCCAGATCTTGATGCCAACCGACGTAGAAATGAAGTGTTTTATTATCACGTCCTGCAAATGCACAGGGACAACGGGGGCGAAGAAAAAGCAGAAAAAAAGAGAACAAACTGGAAAGCCAAGAGGAGGAAATCAAAAAAAAAAAAAAAACATCGTATCATCGCGTAATTCAGTCCCCAATCGTTTCAAACATGGTGGTGCCGTGAGGCCAATCCGTCTTATCTGGTAAAATAGTAAAGGAAATCAAGGAACCGCGGGAAAAATGCCGCCCTAAGAAGAGAGAAAGGTGAAAGAAGCAGAAATCAGAGAAGAAAAGAAGAATGGACGAGGAATAAAGTAAAAGTAAGCCATCGATGGAACTTGAGAGAACTCCAGGATCTCCCACTCTCCTTTTCTATCTTCGAAGAAAGTGTATAATAACGTATGACGTGCAGCGGAAAGACATGGAGCTCAGCTCTCCTCTCTCCCAATTTTTTCTCTCTTTTCTCTCCATTTTCCCATGTTTTTTTAATTGGATGGCGTTTTTTGTATTTCTTTTTTCTCTCGATGAGAAAGGAGGAAGCAAAGGTGATGTTGCACATATGGCAGCAATTGGCCCCCAGGATTCGGCTTTTGTGCTCTTCCATCTTCCTTCCTTTTGCCACTTGCCGGGCATCATGGACCCCCAACAGCCAACGATTCCTCTTTAACGAGAGGACTCTCTTTGGCTCTGGCTAGAACCGGTGTCTCGAGGTCGGTTGAGGCGCTCAATCATCGTTTTGTCGATGTCGTTCTTGTCCACGAGATTGCTAAGACTCATGATGGAGTTTGACTGCTGCGACTGGCCGGTTGGGGGGCCCGATCGTGCGGGCGTTGATGACCCGCTTGATCCATTTTGCTGTGTGATGGGGGAGCGCCCATCGGCAGTGCCAACACTGGAGGGGTGCGGTAGAGCTGGGTTTCGGGGGCTGTGTCTGGCAGCAGGCCCCGAGTAACGCGAGTAGCTGAAGCTGCCGGGGCTGCTATTGTTAGAAAGCTCGGCAGGAGATCTTCGCCGGTGATCATCCTCCGGCCCGCCAGCTCGAGGAGGAGGCAGCCTATATGCGTCATCCAGATCTTGTGATGACCTGCGGCGTCTTCGTCCTGCCGTCTGATCATCTCCCCTTAGCTCCCCTCTCAAATCCGCTCTCGGATCTCCCCTCGGATCCCCCCTCAGGTCACCGTAGGAGGAATATGAATCCGTGGGCGATTGGCCCTGCGGATGATAATAAGCCCCGGGTGGTGGGTGCGGCGGACCTGCCGGCGGAGGATAAGGGTGAGAAGGATGTTGCGGGTGGTGTTGCGGGTGGTGCGGGTGCGGGTGCGGGTGAGGGTGAGGCACGGCGCTCGGGGCCAGAGGCTGGCCATAGGCTCCGAATAACTGCGTCCCGGGCGGCACGCCTCCGGGGACGGCCGAGACGGGGATAAACGCTGTGGAACTTGACGAGCTGACGGGTTGGAAGATGCATTCCTGGTTCATGCGAGCGCAATTCTGACACTTGCCGCCGGGAGCGTTCTGGTGGCCGCTGCAGCGAATCTGGAGAGCGCAAGGGGGCACGGATTAGCTACTGGCAGATCATAGCAGGCAGGCTGACATTAACGAACACACAAGGGCTGTTCCACAATGAGCGACAAACCTTTCGTTTTCTGCAATACCTGCAGGCAATGGAAGTCCGCTGTCTGGGAGCTTCCCTAGGGCGCTCCATGCCCGGCTGACCATAGTCCTGTGCGTAGCCCGGAGGAGGGCGCGCGTAATCGTGAGCATAACCGTTATGGTGGCCTTGCGGGAGCCCTCGGTAGTAATAGTCTGTGGAGTACTGGTCATGATAGGCCGGGTGGGGGGGAGGAGGACGGCGGTCGTCGTAATATGCACCTCGCGGCTCGGGCGGAGGGTATGCAGACCGCGGGTCCGACTGAGGCTGCAGCGGCGGGAGGTATGCGGCTGGCTGCTGTTGGCTTCCGGGGGGTGGAGGATAGCCATTGACGGCATTCGGAGACGCATATCGCGGGTCGCTCACGTAGCCTCGGCCTGCTGGAAGAGGGGGGCCGTAGCCGCTGGGCCGGGAGTCGTGGATGGACGGCAAGGTGACTGAGGTTGCCATGGTGGTTCGAGAATGGGCACTGCTCTCGGGATTCGAAGGGGGTGCGTCCCGTGGAGGGAGGTGGTGGTAGTACGAAGGCACAGGTTGGTGTTGCTTGATATCCTCGGGCCGTTGGTGCTGAGGATACTCCTGGCGATGTCGATCCTCTGCCATGCTCTGCAGCAAAGGATATGAGAGATGGCGGGACAGGTGGAGTGTGCCGCCCTTTACCAGGTGAGTCGAATGATCCCAAAACCTCCAACCAATTCCCAATTGCTGGTGAGGAAGCGAAGGAGCATCTGGCGGGCCCGAATGATCGATGCGAGGCGCCGAGAAACGACGATGCTTGGGCTTCCGACACCACAGCGACCTCGAGACGTTGGCGTATGCGAAGGGTTGAGGTAGAGTGAGATGAGATGCAAGAAAGAGAACGAACTGCTTCTCGAGTTTGCAGGGAAGAAACGTGAACAAGTAGAAAGAAGGGAGAGCGGAGGCCGAATCGAGAAGAAAAGATACTCGCGGTTCGACTTGTCTACCTTTGGGGCTGCAAAGGGCGCCTTCGGCTTGGTTGCAGACAGAAGATGTGGTGGCAGCGGCTGGAGGTGGCTGCAGTGGCTATATGTGCAAAGATGCAGGCGCCCCCCGGAGAACGCCACGCTAGAAGCGAAGAGACGGACAAGAGAAGACGAGACACACGGCAATGGGGCTAGCCGGCGGCGGGACAGGGCCTGCTTGGTTGTTTGTCTCGCCGTAGCTGCGTGGCTGGCCGTAGACGAGGGCTGGATCTCGCAGTCGAAAAGGGCGAGCAGGGGAAGAGAGAAAGAGAAGACGGAGACGGAGACGGAGGGTACGGGAAGATGTGGAAGGGGAAAGAAGAAGAATTCAAAAAGGGCTGGGCTGGCCCCGAGACGGCTCCAATCCTCTGTGCAGCAGAAGTCGAGTCGAGTCGAGTTGGAGAGGAAGGGTTTTTGGTGGGGTGCATGAGGTGAAGGAGGGGGGGACGAGATAAATGAGGACGCAGGAAAAAAGACGAGACGGCGGCGAGCGGGAATGTAAAGGCGGGCGGATGGGCCGGTGTCGTGCCGTTCCCAGCGCTGTGGCCCAGCTAAGGCAGGGCAAGACGCTAGAGCTAGGGGGCTAGTGGGTGCCCTCTAGCGCTTGTGCGTAGTGCGAGGACGGGGGGATTACAGGGCAAGTACCTTGGGGGAGTGCCTCCAGGTCGACGTGCTGGAGCCGCCTGTACTCGGGGGCATGTACCTGTACGAGTCGCCTCCGTGCAGTCTCCGCCGGTGCTAAGGCAAGGTCGGGTGGTTGAGCCCAAGAGCTGCCGGGTTGCTGGGTGGTCAGGTACTATAGTGCCCGGCGCTCGTAGCGCAGTCGTAGGTGCTCTTTTCCTTACAGTACCTTGGACGCAGTGGCAGTGGCAGTGGCAGCGGCCGTGGTCGCGGTCGTGGCGCCGCACCCCCGAAACAGAGTACCTGGGATGCCCTGGCGTGCAGAGTGCGGCTGCAAGTATCCCAAGGTACAATGGCGGTAGGGGGGCGTTTCTCTTGTCAGGCGTCGCCGTTCCGTGCGTTGCGCGCCGTCCCCGTACGCGGTACCCTGTGCGCAAACTCAGCTGCCCACACACCACCCGGTGCGTGAGAAGTGCCCGGGCTTTGATGCTGTTGGTTGCGTTGGATCCAAGCAAGGTAGGATGCGTATCTAGAAAGTATGCGTGCCGCAGGTGGGTGCTTGGGTGCGTGCTTGCGCGTGCGGGTGGAAGTTTATTGTGTCGATGCTCGTCGTCGTCGTCGTCTCTGGCTTTCCAAGCCGTTCTACTCTATGCTGCAGATGCCCACGTAGCAACGCAGAAAGGGCCGCAAGCTGCGATGACAACCCAATGCCCACTTGCCCCAGATTGAGGCGGACAATTGATGCCGCACAGAGACACTGGGGAAACAAAGTCTTGTGCGTCTTATGGATGTAGCCCGGCAGCTCGTCAGCTGCGTGCTCTACGAGTCGAACGCCGGAAGGAGATGGAGCACGATATCAGGCAGCTTCTGTTGAGACAAGATGGGAGGGGGGAGGGAGTGATGAAAGCCCGGGATAACAAATGCTCGGCTTTCAGCTGTGCTCGCTTGAACCTGGTCCTGTAGCAAACACGAATGCCTCGTCTGTCTCGTTGCCGCGTCTATTGGCGGTTTGGCCAAGGCGTGTTATTGGGAGTATCCCGGCGCAAGAGGTGTGTGTGTGTTTACCCGTTTGGAGCCAGGGAACGTGTGTCTCGAGATCAAGGTTTGTTCCACCGGGGAGTCGTCTTTGACTGTGGATGCGGGAACTGAGACCTGGGGCAACATATGTGTTAGACTTTTCTTCATTCTCTGTTTCTGCAAAGCGTGCTTGTCAAGTGGAACGTGTCGGTCCGTGTCTGCAAAAGCGGGACAGCGTCTCCCTTCTCAGACGAAAGCGCTCGGTCTGCCACGACGTTGCGTCATCCAAGTGGGAAAAATAGCATACTCCATGTACGCTCGCAGAAAAAGAGGGTCGGGACGGGCCAGAGGAGCAAGCTGAACAAGACAAAGGAAAACAAAGGCAGCAATGGGCGTTGTGGAAATATGGCAGCGGATAGAGGTCAGACAGGCCGAGAGACGGACAAGACAGGGAGAAGCCCAGCTTCTTGGAGGAGCCGTGATTAGGGCAGTATGCCCAGGAACCTTGGTGGCGCAATGCATGCTGGAAAGCTGCTGTTGGCACCGCGACCAACAGCCGCCAATCGAGATGGAGCGTGAGCGTAGCCGTTCCCGTCGCAGCACCTCTCTGTCTCTCTCTGCGGCCATTGCTTGCTGCATGCTGCATGGCCCCAGTCTGCGGCCACGTACCAAGTGCTCCGTAAAAGCAAGCAGTGGTTGCTGCATAGCTTCGCATCGTCTCATGCAGCATCCCTCCTCACGCTGCCGCACCACTCAAGTGCAGACGCGGGCACGGGGAAGAGGACGGGCAGCAGAGAGGCATGCGTTTTCGTATGCGCGCATACGAACGCAGCATTGCATGTCTGCAGGCTCGCATATTCTATCCTTCTATCCATACACTCTTCCAATTCGTGGATGAGTGCAGGTGCAGATGACCTCGGTGCCCACATGCCTGGGTACGTTTAGGTACGCTGCCTTTTCCGCGCACACAAACATGCGATGCATTGGTCGGGAGGTAGGGGGGCAATGTAGGGTGAGATAGGTAGGGACATGCCTACCTTACACGCCAAAGAGCAAGAAAAGGTACCTGGGTTGACGAATCACCCGTTCAGGGCCAAGGGATGGCGGCGGGAGAAGGGAACAAGAGGGCGTAGGTGGAAGAAGAACTCTTGGTTATGAGAGATGACATTGGAACATGCCTTACCACGTCTTATAGCTAGGGCACAATGCTAATGAGCTGCCCGTCGAGCCAGTCAGGCACCAGTACTGAAAAAGGACGACAATGCGCAGGCTTGCTGTAGAAGAGAGCCAGCTGGCACGCCAAATATCGGCTGCAGGAGAGGGAGGGAGGAAAGACGCGGTCGGGCGGCTCGACTGCTTCTCCTAAGCTCTCTGGACCGCAGATGTCGTTCTCCGCTGCCTCTGCAGAGCTGTTCGTCCGGCTTAAACGCCTCCTCGGGGATGGCAAGGCGAGGCGTCTCGTCAAGGCAGGTATTGAGAATTATACTATCGAGGGTACGAAGTATTTCGTGCCTTTCAGCGACCTAGTAGTACTAATGTAAGTTACCTAAGGTAGGCAAGGAATAGTAGTAGGTAGAGAGGCGCTGCCAAAGAAAGACGACGACGAGGAAGAAAAAGGGAGAGGGAGATGAAGGGAAGAAAGGAGAAGAGGGCGAGAGGGAGGCAAAATCTGAGGAGAGGGGGTTTTCAGAGGGATGGCAAGTTTTGGAAGTCGGTGAAGGAGCTGAGGCAGGAAATATCCAGGCAGGTGCGAAGAACATACGCCCAGGTCTCGTCTCCTGCCTTGCCTTATGATATATGACGTACAACTGCGAGGAGCATGTGATATCATGTATTCCTGCTCGTCAAATTCCTTATATGTAGTAAGTGGAGTTAGAGCAGCACCTTGAGAGCGAGAAATGAATGGTATGGCTGAAGTTGGTCGATTACGCGATGGTTGAATAGAAGCTGGTAGATATATGTACGCGCAGATGAGCGCCCGACTCACCAGTACGCCTTCAAGAGATGCTCTTCTAGTCATAATATTCGGAACCCATTGCTGTCATCGAGACACCAGAGAGACGAATCAACTGCCAACCCTCTGTGGGTGGTCTTCTCATTGGGTTCCAGCCGATACAGTGCGGGTGCGGCCAGTGGCGTGTGCCCAGCGAGGACCACCGAGGCGTGTCCGGAACGGCTCAACGGGTACCTCCCCTGGGCCTGTGTCTGTGCTGCGGAAACCAGGTAGCTCCCTGCGGCCACGGTGCATACAGAAGACACCCAAGCAGGCATCGAGGATTTGATTTGCCAGGTGTGTTTGCTCTCTCATCTTTTCTGTTTCCCTTGCTTGGCCCTACCTTGCCTTGCCTAGCAAGTACCGGTAGCTACTACCTAGTAGTAGTACGACGAGTAATACAAGCCCTCCCGCACCTCTAAAGAGAGGTACGAATCTCATGGGCAGGGGGGTAAGGGCTGGCAAAGGGTAGATCCTTGCTAGTCCCAGCGCCCGCGTGCTTGCGGCATCACTGGGAACATGAACCATCGTCGCCGTCGTAGTGCGCTTGCCCGTAGTACTATGAGTACTGGCACTCGTACAGAGCACTGACTGGCGTAAGAGTAGCGCAGTCTTAACATGCTGAGGTACCCCATCTAGGTAGGTACCTACTAAGAGTAGGAAGAGGAGGCACCTGTTCGTATGTGAGTGCGTGCTAGAGAAGCCTTCAGCCATGATGTGATATCGTGTCTCAGGGGGAGCTTCTCACTCCGTCGTACCTTCAGCTGCCGAGGTACATTGAGGCTGCAGAGCAACTCCAGTATCGACCCAACACGGCGCCATTGCCGCGAACAAAGGACGTCAGAATAGACGGGCCTGGTCATATCTCAGGTTATATTGGGTGATGCCTTCACAGTAGACAAGAGGAGGAAAAAGCAAAAAGACAATGGGATCAGATGCTGGAAGGGCGAGATTTCTGAGACACAACACACAGAAGAATAGTGGGGGTTTGAGACATGCTCCTCAGAATGGACAAATAACCAAATAGCCGGGTGAGACATGCCGACGTCGACAATTGACAGGAGTGCGCCGACCCCAAGTCGTCCGTCTGCCGAACTTCCCATCAAAAGTCAGCTCACACAAGTCAAGGCAGGGCTGCCATCAACAGCAGACAATCAATGTCCTTCGGATGTTGATCCACGGCACGATACCGTGCACTACTGGGTAGACGCTGTCCAGGCTCCTCAGACCCCGCAGAAAGGGGCTTGTCAACTTACTTATGCCTCGTACTTCAGCCCTTGGGCACCAATCAACAAGATACCCCGTCGTGGTCCCTGTAAGCTGCAGGGAGCCTTTCTCCGCCATCGTCGATACTGTACACACTTGTACTCGATCAAAACACCCCATCCATGGTGGGAATGCTTCAGCCTCCTGCCCAGTTTCCTAGTGGGACTGAGACCTTGGTATGAAGGAAGTTCGTACTGCTGAGGTAGCACAAGGAAACGCAGTTACTATTCGTTCGTACTCCATAGAGGTATGAGCGATTGACGAGTACGGAGTGGTCGAAGCCGCTAAGAACGCAGCTGTCGTCTGGGGTTCCGCGCCGCGCCCGTCTCTTCCCGCCACGGGACTTGCGGGCTGCAGGTTGAAAAGACGGCCGCAGCATGCACGGGCTGCGTGCTCCGAGCCGCCTGGCTTTGGCTTTGGCTCTGGCTCTGGCCCTGGACACGGCCTCGGCTTCTGTCCTTTTGCGTTCCGCCGCGCTGAGTTACTAGTTTGTTTGCTTGATCCCAGCTGAACTTGTTGAGGGCGGCTCCTTTGCTTCTTCCCCCGAGCAACCCCTTTGTTTCACTGCCTGCTTGGCAGACCAAGGGTGACGGGTCGTGCACTCCGTATTACTACTAGTACTATAGTTGGTTGTTATGATTCTTCTCTTCTTTATGCTGTTGTCGCCTGTCCGGGAAAGAAAGGGCACAACTGCACCAAGCACGGAGGAGTTATCGTTTGCATTTTCATATGCCGTTGCTGTCAGAGCATTTCCTGGACTCGGATACCGAAGCGGTCATTTCCCGAATGGCATGGGCATGCTTGTACAAGTATGTATCGTGTGCGGGCAAGGTACAGTCCCGGTGCCATGGTGGGAAGACCAACGACCCAGAGCAGCCCCTGTCGACGTACCCAAGCTTGTGCTAGAGCAGTAGACCTGATACTTGCAATCGTAGAAAGCGGCTACTGTAGTGATCCGTACGTTAATCTTCTTCAACGTGGTTGTGACAGTCATGATCGGAAGCAACTCCGCGTAGATCCGAATCTCGAGTCGCCTTCGATCAAAAAGTATGCTATCGGGCAACGGCTGGCTAATTCGCTCCAATTCTTCCCATAACGATGCCCCACTGGCTTCGTTCACAATCCGCAGCAAGAAGGCGAGGAGTGAAGGCCGCTATTACCATTGGTGAGAGATACGAGGTGCATACTCCGTGCGTGACTCCAACCTGTATGTTTATAGTAGAGCTCCCTAGGCGGACCGTAGAGGCCATTGTCGGTTTGATTCAAATCGGACTGAAATCTCGGAGTCAACCATCCACTCCCGTCCTCCAAGGACGGCCATCGGCCCTTGGAAGCTAGTGACGTCGATGCTGCGCCCTCTCGTTCTGGTTGTTGGCCGTGGTAATCGACTCGTCCGGGCCTCATCTCGATCCGGCCCGAGCAAGCCGGCGCTGGATCTCGTTTCGGTCCGCCCTGCTCTCTTCTCGAAGGGAAGTCCAGTGTCTATTTCGTATCGGTCGACGATCGATCGCCCTGCTCTCTCAAATTGCTCCCTCCCTGCTTGTTTTCCCATCAGTCAGCCGAGCTTGAAAGCTCCACACCCAGCCCCAAACCGAGCCACCTGATGCTTTTGTTCAGCCCTGCCTTACTTCCGTGCAAGTAGTAATAGTATTACTCAGTCGAGAATGTCCTGCCTAGAGTCAGCTCAGATCTCCCTATTGTGCACACGTTGGACGGCTACGCACTTCGTGTGTACATCGGATCTTGAAGCTTCAGGCTGTATAGACGCGGAAAGCGGCACAAACCCCAGAAGGTCAGGGCAGTCAGCCCTGTATCCTGCACAGCTCGCGTAATCAAGTGCACTCTGTGCGAAACCGTATGTACAGACAAATCTGTTGGCGATGGTCGCTTCGATCCGATCAAGCAATCCCCCTAATGAGCCAGCGGTTCGCTCCGCTGTGGCACTAGCCAGGAGGCCATCCTGTGCTCCGTCTTGCCAGGGCTCGTGCCTGTTTCCCTGATAGGCAACACCTCGGCTGAGTGTCCTGCAGGGGCAACTCGAACTGTCCGTGTGTTTGACACACAAAGTAGCACGGCCGCAGGATTGCTCTGTGAGCTGCACTTTAAACACCCAGCTTACTCGAAAGTCTGCAGGCAAGTGCCCGTCTTTGTGTAATATATGTCGAGTAGTTGCTGGCTTTGTTTGCAATTGTTTGCAAGCGGTTTTGGCTCTATTGGCCCACTCTGCCGGTATCGACAGGAACTTCCTAGGAAAAGGAAGGGAAAACGACACACGATAGACCCATAGGGCAACTGTAGCCCGAGCAAAGAGACGTGATGTGGCAGATGAGCCAAGGTCATTTGCCAAGAGCTCTCAATCCAAGTCGCTGGGCCAAGCACTGTATTGTTGTGTCTGAGGAGCCTCGGCCTCGCTCTCCACAAGCCTACCGCATCAGGGTTCATGATCGATCAATGAGGCGGAGTACGTTGTACTTTTTCAGTTGCCCAGCCTCTCCCGCTGCCGCGAACAAGCGCACAGGATGCATGTCCAAGACGAACTGGTGAAGCCAGCCACCTCCAGGTACTGCTTCGTATTACAGGTACTCCGTACCTAGCCCACAGCAGCCGAAAGGGCGCCGGCGCGCATAGTTTGCCGGCTGAGGGCGAGTGGTGGGGCGCTGCTTAACCGACGACACTGCAGATAGTAGTCCCATGTACCATCTCCTCCTTGCCTTCAAGCCCAGCTGTTCGACTCAATCGTCTCAATCGGCCGCTCATCCTGGCTATCCAATCGAGCCTGGGCGCTGCGCAGTCTACTGTACACGTCCAGACACCTGCAGAGGGAGCCAATGGTGAACAAGTTGTGCCATCTTACTGTCCAGCCTGCAGCAGTGTTATTTTGCCCTCTTGGTCGCCCAGTCTTTATCCAATGGCTCCAATGGCTCCAATGGCTCCGGTGACGGTGCATGCGCATGTTGAAACCTAGGGAGTCAGACCAGATGGAGCTCCCGTGCGGTGTTCGGTTCCCATTCAGATAGGTTGATTGGCATTTTGCCGGGTCCTGCATCTCGCGTGCTACCCAATGAACTCCAGGTCTAGGAGAACAAAGACAGAGGCGTGCTGCGTGTGCCCCATGTTATGGCCCTGTCCAGACTGCGTGAGAGATGCTGCCATACCCACCGAATCTATTATCCTCCAGTCCCATCCTTTCCTTCACGCCAGGCGGGAAAGTTACACAAGATGTTTGCCTTTCTCAAGGGGGGATTGGGATGGCTTCCTTCCAGATATCAAGTCCAATCGACTTGCAGCCTTTTCGTTTTTTCTGTGTGATGTTTCTTCCAATGTCGCAGCACTCTCCTGTGTTGCTGTTTGCTCGGCTTGCCATATAACGCACGGCCTGAAACCCCAAATCCAGCCAAAGGTGCATCTCCCTGATGCCTCTGCGCCTGTGCCATTTTACCAGAAGCACTTCGTAATACAAGCGTCCAATACCACCACACTCTAAGTTGTAGGTAGAGATGCATGCCGATGCGCTTTTCGTGCGCTTGAAAGTGTATTCGCACCTGCGGGCTCCATGCAGACCATACCATACATGAACCCGGCAGTAGGAGCACAAAGCCGTTTTCCACTGCCGTTGTTGCGTTGGATAATATGCATCACTTCGGGAAGAAATGAAAGGGCAAGGAGAGGCGCCCCTCAATTCGACCCTATCCATCCCTGTTATCCTCGCTTTGATGCAGCCGTGGTCGAAACCAGTTTCGGGAAGAATCTGACAGCGATGCATCATTCTCAAACTCCCAATGACGAGTTTCGATTGTCACTGCTCGATAGAAGTGAGGAAACGTAAAGCGAGATCTGACATGTCGGTCAGTCCCGTGAGCAGGAGTGCGGCGAGAGTGGGGAGTCGTGCTTCCCTAGTGAGAGGCGTAGAGTTCATGATAGGGCGCCGGATGCCCTACAGTATGGACTGCCTATCTAATAAGCAGACCCTTTTGACTTCATTTGACTTTTCGATCTATTTTGGAAGAAAGGCATGCAGACTACTCCATCCTCCGCGCTCGAAGAGAGAGCATCCGTTGCATCAATGGTGCAAGTATGGACAGGTAAACCCCGAAGGCAACCGGCATACAATCGGAGGTAGTAGCGTTCGATCTGGAACAATTGCGATCCATTCGACCTCCTCTAGATGCACGAGCTCGAACGACGATGCGTGCCACGCCCGTGCAACGCCACCACCTGGAGAGGAGCGAGCCTCATCGGAGAGATCTGCTTCATAGGTAAGTACATGTACGTGACATTGGTAGGTACTAACCCAAAGTAGAATTCCTCCTCAGGAGAAGACTCATAGCATAGAGAGCCTCAAGACGATTGGGGAAGCTCTGGAGTTGGTAGGAATCTTGATTGCTGTGCACAACCTTGTCACCACGCAAACGATTGGTTTCCGTCTCAACTCAAACTTGCACAGGCGTCAGTAAGGCCTCACCAGAGCTGTTTGCCAGGCGCCCCTGAGAAGTAACCAAAGGATTCTAACGACTCTGCTTCCCCGGAGAATAGGCAGCTTCAGTTCTCCCCCCCTTTTGGTACTTGAAGTGTACAAAGTAGAGGAGCTCACCCGTGAGTGCTCGATCCCATCGCCACACGCCGCATGTGATGTGTTGTCGCTGCATTTTTGCCTTGCTGCTGATGCGACCCCGCTGCAACTCATTGCACGCCCAATCAAGCTTTTTATGACGATACTTCATCTCCATTAAGTTTCATTCCAGCCACTGCAGAGCACTCCGTATTGTCGTGCAAGTTGTGAGTGGGAGCTGTTTCCTAGAACGTGGTACGACCCGTCCATTGCTGCGTCCTGTCGTGCAGTTGCCATCCGAACGGGTATACTGCCAGATGACCGCTGTAATCCTTTCAGTAACCGTATGACACTTTGGCCGAGTGGTTAAGGCGATGCCCTGCTATTTCCAGGAATAACTTCAGGCATTGTGTTCGCACGCGCAGGTTCGAATCCTGCAGGTGTCGGGTTCCCTTTTTGCCTCGTGGTCTGTATATGCTGAAGGCTCCGTGTCATAGGTCTCGTCCCGCCTTGCTGTCTGTTATCTCGGGCCTAGAACAAGCTCTTCGTAATCCCAGCATGATTGACCCCTCGTCGTTGCCGGCCCTTGCTGCCTTGTGTGCGTATTTCGATCGAACATTGACTTCGTGGTTTCTTTCGATCGAGATCAGAGGAGTGCCTTTAGGCTGACCAACTGTGTCGGCGGCCATGCTGCATGATACATGTAGCATACTGTACCCAAATCCCTGCATTGCCTGCTTCTGCGAGCCGTCCTCGTGATAGACATGCTTGGCTTGAGCGCTGCACCGTTCCATCCACCCTCGGGTGTCTGCTGGCTCCGATCTGGTCGATTAAGAGGCCGGAATATCTGGGACATGTACGGAGTACGAGGACATGTCTGCCTACTCGTCCATGGTGACAGAAGCAGCGTAAGGGTGGTACGAGGCAGGTCGCCTAGCCCTCTCTGGTCCTGACTGTTACCATGGTCCCCCACCTCACGCCGACGCAGGTGTCGTGGCATCGTCAACCATGCAGAGCGGTTCAACCCGCAGCTCCCCAGAGCGCTCCGTAGATAGCGTCAGTTTTGAGGAGGGTGCCACCCATGGCCGTCGCCCCACAATGCCGAGAGCCCGCTCAGATGGACTTGGACAGGCTGACTCGTCCCGATGAATTCGGTAATAACAGGCATCGTCCAAGTTACCCGGGAAAACACTCGCAAGTGGCGCGGTGACACTGTCGGAGAAGCAAGTGACATGGCTCGAGCATGAGCAACGGGTCAAATGATGTCCATCTGAGCTAGATCTGTGTGCCATTCCGGCAACTCGGTCTATCGTAGAAGAGCCTGTAGTGCAGCTTGGGCTCAACAGCGCGGGGCCAGCTCGTGCTGCTCACTAGGCTCCCGGGGCAGAAAATTGGAACAGTGAGAAGACTTCGTACAAGTCGGCCATCAGTGCTGGGCAATATCCGACTGAAGCCTGCAAGCCGTGGCGACATAAGGCATCATCCATATTGCCATGGCCATAATCGTGCTGGCACCTGTGTACGAACGTGGGCGAAGCCTTTGCAGCTCCGAGTAATTCGCGGTGTGATGTGGCGTAAGTTGCGGGAGTTGACTGTATAGATCTTCGCATTGGTGCTATCGAAAGACCTTCTCAACCTCAAGGTGACTCTGCTCCGTCCCAGTTCATTGTCGCTTTCTCCCCCAGCCATGGCCCCGGATTCGATAAAAACACAAGAGTCTGGAGGGTGGATAAAGCGATGATGGAGAGCATGTCTGTTCATCTCCAGGGCACTCACCACGAGCATGCCCACCATGCCTTGTGAGTCCCCCGGCGGCCGACTCGACAAGAATAGTGGAGTATTCACACTGGTGGCTCCCGAGTATCTGGAAACGCACCGAAGCTTGGCCGCTACAAGCGGCAAGCTATCTGCGTAATGAAATTGCATTGTCCAATCAATGACTGGGTTGGACATGGGTTCGCTGAAGGTACCATGGATGGAGTAGGAGATCCCGTCCTAGTCGTCACTGAAGAGCAGGGGAGGGGTGCGGGCAGGGCGCCCTAACAACTCGGTTGCACAAGTACTGTACTTGGCCCCTGTGCTCTGTGCCTTCGTGCAGCAGGGGGCTATGGAGGCATGATGCTTCTGTGAGCGGGTGCCAGTGATGGTCTCCATCCGCAAGGGCCTCGGCGTGGCAATGAGGGTATAAGTTGGGTCGACGACTAGAGATGCAAGTGTCCGGCCAGTTGACTTGGATACTTTACCGCCGCCAGCACGGAGAGGGCCGTATGGAAAGGCGCTGGAGTGACATTGCAGGAGAGTGTCGGTGGGATACTTCGTACACGCAGCAGCATAGTTGCACCATAGAGGAGAGCAAAGACGGCGTCCAAAGGAGGTAGAAGCTGAAGGCAGTCCGCAACCCCCTATTGGGGCTTCGTAGGTACCCGTAGTCGTGATATCAGGAGTCGGTCGTACCCCCGTACATTGTAGGGCTCGTAGCAGGCAGACGGGCATGGTTGATGGCTTGGGCCGCCCGCCACAAGGCTCTTCCCGTCCTCGCCGGGTCTTTCTCAGTTGAGCTGCATATTGGGTATCCGCCCTCCTAGACTGCGCACACCCCTTCCGGCCCGCAGCATGTACTTCTGAGTCTGGCACGCAGCCCAGCGACCATTTACTGCGGAACGGTTTGACACGCCACCAGGGAAGAGGAGCCACGTATCAGGAGTATGCAGGCAAATGTATGTATGAGCATGTACGAGTATGCTGATCCGCAAGAAGACTCGAGCAGCCATTCGTTAGCTAACGCTTCGAACGAGCGTGCAAAGCACCTTGCGTCCACTGCTGCTGCTCCATCTAGCTAGTGCCGGGTGGGACCAGGCGGGGGATGAGAATGACGAACGGCCTTGAGTACCATCAGGAGGAGGATGTCTCTCAGTGGTCGACCACTGCTGCAACCCAAGTCTTCGTTTATATAAGCCAACGTTGTCCATGCACCTCGTTATTCCAGTCCGCTCAAAAGGACCAAGGGATGCGGCTAGTCTTCGGCTACGGTGTGAGCCTGAGGTCGCGGTTGCGTAGCACCGTCGAGATGTCCGTCATGGCGCCTGTTTGCTGTGACAGGGACCCTGGGCGCGAGGAAGTAATACAGGCAAACGGAGGACCCACAGGCGCACAGCACTGCCGAAGTTGCATGCCAAGTCTTGCAAGTGTGCCTCAAACGCTCTTGTTTTCGTAGAATCTCGTTGAAGAGCTCAGAGAAGCCGAGCTGGAGAAACGCTGGTGTCGACATGGCCGAAGGGTACCTTGGAAGGTAAATTTGTAGTTGTGCATTGGAATGCATGGCTCAATTATAGAGGGTGAAGACGGTCGGGTAGGAGTACGCCTCCTGGAATGGGTAGCGGCAGTTCGCTTCCATCATGAAGCGAGTCAACAAAGATACCCTCGGGGAGAGTTGGCGGTGTATGAGGCGGCCAGGCTTGCTCTGATTCCACTCTCGATCCGACGATCAGCATATGTCGAGAATGAGTGCGCTGGCGGAGAACCTATCGTTCTCGGGATCAGTGTAGCTGGTACTCGCCCGCGTTCCTCAACGCATCCACCAGCCTCATATATAGCCCCGACAGTTTGTGCAAATTTCGTCTGAAGACCACTGGTCCCAAGGAGAGTCGTAAGTCGAGAGCATTGCCGTTGTACCTTTTGGCTCAGTAGGTAGCTACATAAGTTATTCAATGGTGAGTTGGCACTTTATGTTCCTTGCTGAGACCAAAAGGGGGAGGGGGGGGGGGGGGGGGGGGGGGGGGGGGGGGGGGGGGAGGGGGGGGGGGGATATTGCGGTTTGCACGAGAAGGCAGGACGACATACCTACTGCAACATTTTGCCGCTCGAGGCTATCTCACTACTTCACTCTCAAGTGTCTTCCAGTGCTCGATATACTATGAGACAGCAAATTGACCAAGCTGTGCACCTTACTATGAGTAAAGAGATGATGCGCCGCACTGTGTTACATGGAGTTTTGGCCACGTCCATGGCAGATCAAGAAAGGCGTAGCTGGTACTATGGGTGAATCCAGGCATTGACAACGCCGAATACCTTACTCCAGACGTACGAAAAATATCAAGTAGCAGTACCCTACATACCTGGATGGTGCCCCTGGGGCGTGTACGTCGTGATACGCTTGACCGCTGGTGAGGCTGTCTGAGATTGCTCGGATTGATTGTGCCCAGCCGCCGATTTCGGGACGGTGCATGAGGTTGTGGCCAAAGGTGCTCGCTGTCCCCTCGTCAGCGACGACAATAGGGGAAATGGGGTCAAGACTCTAGTCAAGGAGGGGGGTAGAATAACGCGAACTGGGTGAGGTACCGCTACCTGGGGTGAACGAGACAGAGCAAACACGAAGCAGCGCTTCTGGAGGCATCGCTGAGCGAAGCGCGCTGCGGCCTTCAGCAACTGCTAATGCTATGCAGGGACTTGGCAAGCAGGGCCTCTGTCCTGGCCGTCTATCGGTGGTCAGCCGCAGCACAGCGAGAGAGCGGTAGATACTTGGCCTCTCACCGAAAGTCGTGTCTGTGGTTTGGCGAGCAAATTGTGATGGCGAAGCGTGAATTGAGCATGAGATGCCGCTGCAGTTGATGGATTTTGCCAGTTTGTCTAGCTGCCGCCTTTGCCCACTCGCTCTTTCCACACAAATCTGAAGGCGTGTACCAGGCAGGTACCAAGCCACGCTGTTTGCGGCGCACTTTCCTTCACTTGACGCCGCGCTTTTCCTCTGAACATCCCACATGACTTCAAAAGTATCTCACTTCCTGCTTGGCCACATGAAACCTCATTTCTCTGCCCATCTTCATCTCTCACGCTCTAACGATTGCTCAGTCAGGCATCGCTATTGTCCACCCTATGCTCTCCGCTGAACTTTTATGCTTCAGCCTTCTTCGCCGTGGTTCCTCGACCATAATCCCTCCACGCGTTTCGCACACAGAAGAGGCCTCGTTACCATATGCCAGCTGTGAACATTCAGTCTACCTACCTACCTGGGTCGACAATCTGCAGCTTGCCAGGAAACCGTGGACCCCTTCAGCCCGCCACCCTACCAGTGCACCCTGCAGCGAAGTAGGAGTACGTGCGAAGTAGGCAATCCTCGACAACCCAGCCTCCCAAGTAGGTTGGAGGCATGGAAGGCGGTGAGGCGGATCTGGTCCGTTATTTACCTACTATTGTGCATACCTACAGAAGAGAGGAAACAACAGCAGCGCGCAGATCTGACCGTCAAGGCAATTGACGCTTTCTATCCTCCACTGGCCCGGCCGGGAAGGCATCCGGCAAGCGGCGACGCCGTATGCTCAAGCTGCTCGATTCGATTTGACTGGTCACTAAAACACATATCTTCTCATAGTCTCTTGTCGCTAGCTCTGGGTGGACGGCCGCGCTTTGCACCAAGTTGCAGGTTACCGCAGATGCACAATCACGAGCA